CCCCAAAACCCCAAAACCCCAAAACCCCAAAACCCCTAATCCCATAAACAAATTAAAAATAATAAATTTAGCAAAATAAGATGAACAGAAATTTTGCCATTGTTTTAGTGGTGACTGCCTGCTTGGTGGGGAGTGTGGTAGCGGATAAGACTATTAATTTGGTGACTTCTGGGTCACAACAGTTGAATATTATTTATAAGGAGCCTCAGGATGGGGAATTGTTGAGAGTGCAGACACAGGTGATCCTCGATTCCGTCCTTGGCAGCGCGAAGTATGCTAGTGCTATTTGTGCTAATACAGGGAGTAGTAGTTATACAGTATCAGATGGCACTACTGTTGAAGCATTCGGCTTTATGTTTGCTTGTTCAATCTCAGGAGGATGCACAAATTCTCAAGATGTAGGAGTTACTTTCTACGGAAGCACTGCACAATACTCCTCCAGCAACTGGTATTGGAAAGTAAATACTAGAGTTGATATTTCCTCAGTAAATAAAGGAACTGAGGCTGGTAATGGATTGACAGTTACTTCTGTCTTTGGATTGCCTTCTAATTTTGCTGACTGGGCTAATATACCTCTTCAAGATGTTACTGCCTATCTGAAATGATTTGGAGCTTTTAATGTTGACTCTACATCAGCGAACATCAATTCAGATCAAACACTTACTTCATGGCCTACCCAGACAGAAGCAGTCACAATTACTGCTGCTGATTTAAAGAGTTCAGGAATGAGCCAATTTTCTTTGCTGAAAGAAGGAATTGTTATATCTAGCATTGCTCTATCATCATTCCTTCTCTAAGTCTTATAATTGCTCAAATTCACCAATAAGTTCATCTCATTAAGCCAGAGGGCTCACCTCACTTCCTTCTTCATCCCTAAAAGCGCTTACATTTTCTTCCTAGACACCCTTTTTCTTTCTCTGAGCTCCTGGCTTCCTCAAAGCTGTAATCTTGTGGCTTCTTGGTCTCTGGGCCCAGTCAAAAATCCTTGGAATTTTCGGTTTTTATTTAAAAAAATCTGCGAAGAAATTTAGGGGGTTTTATTGGTGGTGCAAGCCAGAGTGGATTTTGGGGGGTTAAGAGGGTAGAGAGGAGAGGTGGGGATGATAGGAGGCTAGGGGGAGAATGTGCAAGGATGAGTGGAGGGTTAGGAGTGTTAAGGGAGTGAGAGTGTTTTAGAAATGGGGGTTTAGGAAGAGATTGTTATCTTGGTGAAGGGATTTAGCCTCCTCTCGATGATAGCTTGCACTAATCCTCTTATCACCTAATTTAGGGACTCTATTACCTCTAAAATATACCTATTTCCCAAAATTTTATGCATCCTAAGTTCCTTCTCTAAATCCATTAACCTGAAACGGGGTTTTGGGGTTTTGGGGTTTTGGGGTTTTGGGGTTTTGGGGTTTTGGGG